TGTTTTAAAATTTTGTTTATTATTTAAATTTTAATAATTATTTAAAATAATTTAATATTTTAATATAATTTAATATATTTGAATATATTAAATATTTTATTTAATATAATTTACTTTTTTGTTATTATTTTTATTTTTAATTATTTTATTTTTATATTTTTAATATAATTATTATTATAACATAAATCATATTTTAATAATTATTAAAATATAAAATTATATTAAATAATATTTGAATTTTAAATTTAGTTATTATTTAGTTGATATAGAGTCTTTTTAACAAGAAAAAGAAGAAAATAAATTTTTTTTTGTTAAAATTAAAAATAAAATTTTCTATAAAGTTAAAGGTGTAAGATAATGATGAGATGTCAGAAGGTTAAAAGTGAAACTTTTGGAGGTACAGGATGAGATCTTGGAGGTGTAGGATGAAACACTCTTTTTTCATATTTAAAAATCTCTCATAACTAGAGCTGTCAAAATGGATCATGACCCGCGAGCTAACCCGGTCCACCACGGGTTTGAGCTGGGTTGGGTTAGAAAAAATTATATTTTTTTTATGCGGGTTAGATTTCAACCTGTCTCGTTTAAACCCAACTCATGTGGGTTGAACCCGTGGTGGGCCGGGTTGACCCACCAACCTACCTACCTAATTTTATTTTATTAAAATTTAATTTTAATTTTATAAAAATTTAATTTTAATTTTATAAAAAAATATTTATTATTTTATTTTTGTTTGAAAAAAGTATTTAAGTTTCTTATTTTCAAAATTAATTAAACATAGAAGTGAAATTTGTTTAGATTTGTATTATAGAAAGTTTGTATTTTTTTTATTTAAAAAAAATTGTAATTAAGTGAGCCAGTGAGTCAACCTGTTTACCCATCAACCCGTGGTGGGTTGAGTTGAGTTCGAATTCTTCTAGCTCACTAATAAATGAGTTGGGTTGGATTGGCTCACTAAATGACCAACCCGTGATAGATCGGGTCGGACTGGGTAACCCGTTTTGACAGCTCTACTCATAACTGAGCTCAATTTAATTTGATAAGAGTAATTTTAACATGAATTGATTTTTTTTAGTGTGCACTGTATGTGACTTGACATGAATTACCAATTATGAATTTAATTGAACTACGGCGACAATTTAAATACATTGCTGGTTTTTTTTATTAAAAAAAATTACAGGATAAGTTATCTTTACAGAAAATAAAATATTTTTTGGTAAAATACGACGTTTAGGTAAAAAATTCTATAAAATTTAAATTCTAGAAATTTATGAGAAAGATTATGAAAATTTTTATACTTATTAACTAATGTGATTAGATGATATCATTACGTTAACATTAAAACTTCTAAAATCTTCCATTAACTCTAATCAGTTAATCATCAATGTTAACATTTGAATCTTGTTCTACTTAAAGCGTATGTTACAACAATAATTTTCAAGGATTGTATACCAAATACAAGTCATACTAATATGAGTTGACATTGCCAAACACGGATTAGGACAAACTTGTATTTTAGAATTTCTTTTTTATTATTAGTTTTATTCGAATGTAGTGGTGGAACTCGAAGATTGTCACAGGACACAAATTTTATCCGTGGAGGGTTGTACAAGTGTGAAAGTGTTCTTCAAAGAGTGTAAAAGAAAAAACACACATCACGTTGGCTGTGGTCCGTCCTTTTTTCTTCGATATTATATATATAGTTTCAATTCATTTATATAAAATTTTATACGATTATAGTTAACACTTGGTTTTGCGTTCGTACAGAACATGAAATACGAAGAATCATAGATTGCATTCGCTCTTTATTCAAATGATTTTTGTTATAGTTTATTATTCATGTACAAGTGCGAGAAAGCATACATTGATTGGAACATGTTTTAAGTTCAACTCAAGAGGTAAACCTGTAAGATAAATAATATCCCAATGCAGCAATGACCAGAACTGCAGCACCAATATTTGTTGCTATTTTTTTCTCTTCCTCATTCAATGCTACTTTTGAAAAAGCATGGGAGACACCTCCAACCCTTTTCACTGCATTCTCTTCACTCTTCCCTTTTTTCTCCTTTTTCTTCTGAACTTTTGGAGCACGAGTTTCTGCTTCCTTGGCTACAAAATTCTCTTTCTCTTTAAAATCAGCTTGCTCCTTATCTTTCGCGTGTCTTGACTCATAAGCTTCCTCTTTAGCTTCATTCTTTGAGTTCCTTTCCTTCTTAGCAGCATCAACACTTGTTTCTTCTATCCTCTTTTCCTCCGGTTGCTCTTTAACTGTTGGCTTTCTGGAAATATTTGTTATTCCAGGTGTTGGCTCACCTTCCTCTTGACCCTTTGGAGGTTGCTCATCTCTTTTGATTTTCTGCTCCATTGTTGGTGTTGATTTAGGTTCAATTTCCTCCTGACCCTTTTGAATTTTTTCAGCTGTTTTTACTTTGGTTAGCATTGCTGGTGTTGCTCTTGGTTCAAATTCCTCTTGACCCTGCTGGTACCTTTCAGCTGTTTTGACTTTGGTTAGCGTTGTTGTTGTTGGTCTTGGTCCAAATTCCTCTTGACCCTTTTCAGGCTTTTTATCTGTTTCCATTTTGGTTGTCACAGCTGGTGTTGATTTTGGCTCATCCTCCTCTTGACCCTTTTGTGGCTTTTCATCTCTTTGCATTGTGGATGACCTTGGTGATGCTGGTTTTTGTTCCAACTCCTTTTCACTCATTCGAGGCTCAGCAATGGAACGAACTCTTTCTACAGCTTCCACTTGACCCTTTTGGTCGCTAATTGGTTCTGAAGGGGTTTGAGATGGTGTGTCTTCCCTTTTTTGTGCCTCAAAGTCAAGCCTTGGTGGTGAAGCACTTTTCTTGTCTTCAACTGGTTCTTCTTCCACTTTAGTTGTAGTCGTAGGTTGTGGTGGAGTAGCATCCTGAACTTTTTCATCAGGCTTTGATTCAGCCACTGCACCTTTGTCTTGGGATGTTCCCACTTCTTGTTGTTTAGGTGCAGCTTGTGATGCGGTCGTGGACTTCTTTGGTATTGTAAGGATGAGAACAGGAGCTTCATACTTACCCTGAAGTGCCTCTGCATCACAATAATCAGGAATGGGATATGATTGGTCAATTCGTTGCCATATTGTCCCTCGAACTTGTCTTTCTCCAGATATCCTCACCGTTCGTGAAGGGGCCACATAAGTTATCTTTACACTTTCCCTTGGAAAACCTGTAAAGTTAGGTGAAAAAAATAGTTACACTCAAGACAGAAGAAAACAAACTGAAAAACTAAACTAAACTCGATTTGTCTGTTTAAGATAAAGCTTCTTTTGGCTTAGACTCGGGTAAAGTTGATTTAAATGACTATTCTGAAACTATTAAACGTGAACTGTATCGTATTAATTGAATATTTGTGATTATTAACGTTACAAATTTAAAATAGAGATGTGCATGCCGTGTGTTTGGATAAGATGAATTCCTAGGAATTATATGAAAATTCAGAAGTGATTAAACAATTATAACGTACATACTCTCAGAAAAATATAAACTAGGCAACTGTGTTATCATTTGTGATATATCACTTTAAAACATTCCTCATTCTTAAGTAAATCTACATGCAGAAGAGTAAACTCAATCTATATCATAGAAGTACATTGCTCATATATATATATATATATATATATATAAGTTGAAAGAAAAGCATGGATTAAGAGAAAAGTAAATGAGCAGACCAGGAAGATAAACATGTAGAAGATAAGCTTCTGGGAGTTCTTTAGTCTCTGATTGAGGCTGCAAAGTCTCGTACACGCGTCGAACAGAAAGTTGTGGACGGAAAGATGTTGTTCTCTGCCTGGAAGCCATAGCTGCACAATGTTATAGGCTAAAAAGTCTTTTTACTGAAATTCTGTCACAAAATGCTTTGAATGGGATATGTTATTGTTTAAATTTTCGTTGTATATGCATGTTTATATAGAAGGTGTGTGTGGATAGTGTTTTCTTGTCAAAGAAACAATTCCTTGTTTGTACGTATGCATGTGTTTGGTTTGTTGACGTAAATGGGTTGGGTATTGCCTTGGGCTTTGCTGAACTTGAATAATATAAAAGGTATAACTTCTTTATGTAATTGTTCTTTGTTTTGCCCTCACACTTTACTTTACCATGCTACGTACTTGCAACATTATTCACGAGTCATTCTAATGTGAAATAGAGGCTTAGGCAAATCACAATTTTTATTTCATTTTATAGTGCTTGCCACTTTTTTCTTTTCAATAGGTTTTGATGGCGATGGATTGACTTTAGTTTTTGGTGTCAATACCTTACACATCTATCCCATACACATCTACATAAATAATCAATTAATATTAAGTGATTTTTTTTAATTACATTATATAATAACAACATTGTATAAAACATTAATTAATTTAATTTTTTCATGTCATACAAAAGAAATTGTAATTTTCAATGGATAAAATCTGTCTAATAATAAAAATTTATCAGTAATTTAATTTTATCGATGAATTATTAATATTTCAAAATTTGTCAATAAAATAGTCATTAACAAATAAGAAAATCTGTCTATAATTCTATTTTTAATTACTTACGAATTTGATTAGTTAATAAATATCGTAACTAAGTGCTATTCTTTCTCGCCATTTTCTTCTTCATTATTGAATTTAAATAATTCTTTTACCATCTAAAAACTATTGAAAGACAATATAGAAATATTAAATGTTTTACTTTTGTTGTAATTATTTCTTATTTAGTTAATGTTAGATATAATAAAATATTTATGAATCATTTTTATTTTAATAAAAACGTTTAATTAACTTTTTTATTATTTGAATATATATGATATAATAAAATATATATGAATCATATTTGAATATTTTTTTAAATTTTCATTATCAATAAAATAACTTTTTGTTACTTAAATTATTTTTGAACAAAACAAGTCTAATTATATCAAATAATTTTTTCGTAGAGTGAAGCAATTAGTCTAAAATACATATTAAATTTTTACCAAACAATTTTTAATTTAAAAAAAAAATTTAAAGCTAAAAACTTAAAATAAAATCATCAAACAACTTCTAGGTTTACTTTTAAAATTCTTATTTTAAACTTTAACCTTAATTTAACTTGTAAGTGAACACAAGTAGCAAAGGTGTACTTATACATAAGCTCCAGTGCAAAGTCTTTATATTTAGGTAAAGCAAGAACTAGAAAAGTCTTGGCACATGAACAGAAAGCTAGAATTAGGAGGCCACTGCATGGTTTCTCTATGAATGTGAGAGATATGGGAACAGAACAGCTTTCATTCAAAACACTGCATGATATTAAGAAAAATATATATATAGAAGGCAAATAAATATACTTAGAACATTCTAATTATCAGCATGAGGAGACTAATGAGTAAAGACTAATTTATATCCTATTTATCACCAAACTCAGAATTGATAAGCAGCTTAGGATGTAGCCAGACAAAATGCATTTCAAATTCAGATTCTGCTCATTAAGTATACTTTTCTTTCCACTAGACAACTCTAACCCACAAAGGAGGGAATGCTGTTTTGATTGTGAAGATCCTGGAGCTCATACCTAACTGAGAATTTAAGCCATCCCCTTTGTTCCAGAATCTTGAGACAAGGTTGCATCACAAGGCCTATCACTACAGCAATGAGGCTTATAAGCAGTATTTTGTTGGTGGATAAAGCCAGCACAACAAAAATCAAAATTGTGGGAGGAATGCAGATAGCAACTGCTACAGCTATTCCCCCAGGAATTTTGTAAGGTCTAGATGCGTTTGGATGCTTGATCCTCAACAATATGAATGCTACAAACTCCAAAATCATCCCAAAACAGTACAAGAAATTTTCAGCAGCCACAATCTCTTGAAAACTCAGCCATGAGAGTAAAATAACACCAGATGCAGAAAACAGTATTCCTATTATAGGAGTTCCATAACGAGACCTCTTGCCAAAGAACTCTGGTAACATGCCCCTCTCAGCCATTCCTAGAAGCTGGAAAGAGTCACTACTCATTTCAGCAACAAACATTCCCATGTTTGACATTGCAGCAGCAGCCTGAAGCCACCACCTCAACCACACTCCTCCAACAATCTCAGCAATATCTGAGAAGTACCCATCAGTCCATAACTCCCTGTTGAGAGGAACAACACCGGTGCCAATCAAAAGAGGGAAGAAATAGCTCAGAACTACAAGGATCAAAGCATAAAATAGAGCCCTGGGAAGAGTTCTCCTTGGATTTTCCACTTCTCCTGCAAGAGTACTAATAGAGTCCCAATAATTGAGATTCCAAAACAAAGTATTCAAATATAGATTCCAATCAGTATCATCAAGATTTGCCACACACCATCTTGAAGGTTTCAAGTCTGGAATTGACAAGAATCCCATGACCACAAAAGGAAGGAGTGAGAAAACACCTAAAAAAACAGCAACAGTTCCCACAATGGTTAAACCCCTATAGTTCACGCAAGTGAGAACCACAGTTAAGGCCCAAGTTGAAATATTTCTGGGAACCCCACCCCCCAATGCAGGGATTCCAGATTTCAAATAGTCAAGAAATAGCACTGGGTACAGAGCATTGTCAATCACCCCACTAAGCCATTTCATCCAACCTTGCTGAAAACCCCAAAAGGGACCCAGGGCAGAAGAGACCCAAACCACATAACCACTGTTCTCAGGAAACATTGTACCCATCTCTGCAGTAATTAGAGCCTCAGGAACACTCCATATGACTGCAAAAACCAAGAACCCCAAAAGGGCTAATAGAGGACCTGCTGCATGCACAGTGTCCTCAACTCCAAAGGGTCCCCCAGAAACCTCATAGAAGATGAGAAATACTAGAGGAAGAACAGAGACTTTCCTTGTGTGATTTTCCCTTGGGGAAGATAACTCCTCAATACGCGCATACTCACCACCATTGAACCACCCCATTAAACTCGAAGGTGTCATAAACTTTGAAGGCAATCAAATAAAAAACCAGATAAGACAATAGCTTTGAGAAATTTACCAGCAAAGTTTCCATTCACAAAATCGGAAAGTGAAAGGAAAACTTGAATCAGTTGGTCATTTATTGCTACATAGTAGAGAGAGCAGAAGAGAGAGCAAAAGAGATAATACCAAGCAATAAATGAGAGGCAGAAGATGAGATTGAAAGAGGAAAAGACGAAAGAATCTAAATCCTTAGACGGTGCAAACTGTAATGATGACGTAGTTGTCTTTGGGGAATTTGGAATCCAACGATTAAGCTAGATAAACGTACCAAGTAAAACAACGTAGAATATAAAGGTTGTGTTCATGACAATGCATGCGGAAACGGACGAAATGAAAGTCCTACCATTCTTTATTCTTCGTGTTGCACCATCCACGGTTCATCTTTTACTTTATCATTTTTTTATTTCTGTCTGCCACTTCATCTTCCTTAATTAAACAGAGAAAGTATTATTTTTATTTTTATTTTTATCTTATTTTCTTTTGAAGTTCATTAAAAAATTAATCTTACTTTTTCTTGTGAAATTAGTCAACTGTCATCCTTCTCTTTAGAGAAACCTAATAAAATATTCTTATGTTCCATGCTTAAATTTCAAAAATTCAATTTTTTTATTAATCCCTTATACTATCTTTCAAAGGAAGAGATATTAGTTTATATGAATAAACTTAACTACATTAGATTAGATGGTTAATGTACTATCTGTCTTGATAATTATAATGTATTAGTAGTTGTGGATAACTAATGAGTTAGTCGTTTTCGTATTTATTTGTTTGGAATACAACGTTAAAAAAATGTGGTTTATAAATTATATTGTTGATTATATATAAATGAGGTGAATAAGTTTTTTTATTAAAGAGTTTGTTGTCTATAAAATGATACTAGAGCTTTTTAGTTTGAATATCCGAGTGTGAAAAAAAAAGTTATAGAGCTTGAGTGTTTGCAAAAGAGAGAGTGAGATGACCAATCCTACAAACAATGTGTCTTTGTTCAAATTGTCTTTAATGGTCAACTAT